GAGGAGGAATTGGAATAAATTTAATCAGCACAAACAGCTATTCTGGTTAACTGCTGCCCAGAGCTGTCTTCAAGAAGGATCTGTCTACTTGGATGCTGATCATGTATAACCAAAGCAGAACGCTTTGTCTCAAGCACAAAGTAGGAACTCAATAAATTCTTGTTGAATAAATGATCACATAATGATAACTATTCATCCTCCATGAGTTATGTATTAATGTGTTCCAGAAATTTTCAAAGACTTTATGCATATTATCTCATAATCACATTTAAGAATCAACTTTAAAAAATCAACTTAAAGTATTATCCCTATTTCATATAGAAGAACAATAAGGAAACTGATGCTCACTTGCCTCTTATCAGGAGCTGGGACTGAACCCTGGGTCTGTTGGACTTCGAGATTTATGGCCTTTTACATCCCCACCCCGCTCCATGCTGGGAATCAAACCTAGGGCCTCACACATGGTAGGCAAGCGCTGCTCTACCAGTGAGCTACATCCCTAGTCCCTTTTATGAAGATTTAAGCTCAAAAAAATGAGACAGAAGTGACTCCCCTTTGGTATATTCACTATTATTGAGGCTTGCATTTTAAAAATTCAGTTTATTTCAAAATACAATGAAGTGACAGCACTTTTGAAGCAGTTTTTATTAATGACCTCTCAGTGCTGGAACTGGATTAGTGTATGTAACTACAAATATAACCAAAATGTAAACTTCCCATTTTCTGCTTCGATTTTATAAGGAAATAGAAGAGAGTATTTTGCATTATTTGATTTGAATTTGGAAGCTCAACCATTAGACAAAGTATTTTTAAACCACATTAATTTCTTATGTTTCCAATTAACCTAAAGGAAAAGAAGCCTATTGGCTGTGGTCTGTGTGGGGTTACTCATAGAAGTAGATTATTTCCTAGTAACTTATTGTTGTTTGCTCCTCCCTCACGCCTAACCCAGATGCCAAACTCATAATGACAACATCACATCTCAGTGGCAGCTTGGTGTGATAAAGGATTCTAGGTCTAGTGAGCTCAGCAGCAAGTGAATTTAGGAGCAGAAAACTCTTGCAACTGTTCTTTTCTTCAAAGTACAAGGTACGGGAATGATTGTTTAGAAGTGGTACGATACAATTTAGAATCTTTATACAACATGTAGAATTACTCTGGAGTTTCCTGACGTTCTGAGGGGGGCTGCGCAGGGTGGTTAAGCACAGCTCTTACCAGATCTCCCTGGAGGATCCACTCCACCAGGATCCATTTAGGGAATCGCTCCTCTGCCTGCCCTTGGCTTCTCTTTCCACTTCTCTTGAACTGGTTCTTGGCCTATCTTCACTTTTCTTCCCTATCTGCCGCCTCTCTCTTTTGGGGCTCTTCCTAGTCATAGAGCACTCACGTGAGAAACTCCTTTGTTTTCTGAAAGACATGATGCATCAGACAAGCAAAAGGGTTTTTCAGGTCAGTGAAAAAAATTAAACCTACCTCTGGCGTCTCCCTTGAAGAACTGAAGAAAATTCACTAATTCTATAACTTGTAATGCTAATTTAACATGCTACCCATTTAGAAGGGATTTTCAACTTTCCAAATAATGTCAAAACAACTTGCAAAGTTGCTTGGTTTTTTGAGTTCTTTAAAGAATCTCGTAATATATAGAGATGGCATTGCCTGCACCCATTCTTGATGAAATTACATTATAATGGGAATATTTCCATCTTTCACTCCTACCCAAAGCCTGTTTTCTTCTTTCGCTATTGCCTGAAAGCTTTGACTGCTGTTTGGTTATTGCTGCCACCTAATGTCTCAAAATGCAATTGCAACGAGTTTGCCTTTTCCAAGATTCCCACTATTCTGCTCTTTCTGGAAATAACTATTGAGTACGTAGGGAAGTTCAAACTTTTCCTCTGAAGCCTTGATGTTTGATTCTGCTAAAATAAGCTGACAATAACAGATAACAGGAAAAAAGGCGTACAAATTTCTTATCATGTACATCTGCACAGGAGCCACCCAAAATATGAAGTTTAAAGAGCCAGATGGTTGAAGCTTTATAGGGAAGGGAGAAAGGGGACACAGGCAGTTCCGAGGGTAGAGAAATATTTTTAGGGAAAATGAAAAGGCTCGGAGAACAATCGGTGGGCTGGCACAGTTTCTCTGGGTTCTAGGTGTGATGTTTGATTTTCAGTCTCTTCTGTGATCAGTTTAATCCTCCTTGGTTAAATGAAATTTCATGAAGGCAATTGGGTTCCTCTTCGGTGGATCCAGTCTTTAGCAGATAAGAGAACTCCATAGAAAACCCTCACCCAGTGTCTGCTGACCCCTGTATGCCTTTAATTTAAAAGAGCATACATACCAAGGCACCACATTTTGGGGCATTATTTCCTGAGCGCCAACAGGATCAACTTTTGTCTCTTTGTACTCTGTAAGTACTAGCACTCTGAAGTAATTGTTTATTGTGAAAAGATGACGAGTAGCAGACATTGTGCAAGGTAACTGCGACTAATAAAGCACGAAAGATGGGGTTTAGGAATCTTGATATTAATATAAGATAAATGGTTACTGTGACCACCCCGGAATGTATTTCCCCTAATAAAATTGGATTTGATGCTCTTAACAGTCTGTTCTAGCTTGAACTTTTTTTTTAAATTGTGTATAGTTATGTTAATAAAAGTATGATCTTTCTACATGATACTATTTACTTTTTAGGGTGAACATGTTTTCTTATAGACCTGTATTAAATATTCCCATTTTCACTGTTGGAATAGATAGCTTGATCACTTTCCCATGCTCATTTAGCAGAGACAGACCTGGGGACTGTCCATTGTTATTGTGGTCTTAACCAGAGCAGTACTTCCCTGCTTACTGGGTTATTCCTGGGCTTCCTTAGCCCAGTGTTTTATTTGTAGTACATATTAAGGTTCCTAGATTTAAAATCAAAACAGCCACCCAGTTTGGATTTTAAAAGACTTGTATAATTTTATTGTTTAATTTCCATCAGCATTTTGAAATGCAGCATTAATACTTCCATGCGTTAGAAAGAAATTGAAGGATAAAATGTTTTTCACATATGGGAGAGTGAAGGGAGATAGAATTCACTGCACACGATGAAATTTGTCTTAAATCGTGAAGAATGTTAGAACTTGACAAAACCTTTCCTCAGAAATTACTATCCTATACTGACTTTGTAAAGAATTATTATTTTATGTATGACATTTTACTAGATACCTTGGCTTCTCTCAAACATACCTTAAATGAATTACTCATCCTTTATAATTTCATACTGGTTTAAGCAAAGCCAAGTGAATATAAAGACTTAGCTTCAACTAGTATGAGTTTAATTTGTTAACAGATGTTTTAGAGAATTTATTCCTGGGACCCATGGTGGAAGGAGAGCCTAGTGAAGAAAATAAAAATTAATTTGGACCTTCTGTTGTTATGTTTAAATGCTATTCCTATTTGGATGGCCATGAACCCTAATTAAGTATAGTTTGCTCTGCTGTTATCCTTTGCTTACATGTTTCCAGACAGTTTTCAGTAGTTGTGTTCAAACCATGCTGACTGAATTTTGCGAGTAAACTCTGGAAACTCGCTGCCTCAAGGGACTGACTTAGCTAAATATAGAACTTCACCAAGTTCCTTTGAACTATAAATTTTGTTAGTCTGTTGAAAAAGTTATTATTGCTACTATCAGGTTTATCTGACATAATTCTTATAAGCTTTAGCAGACTGATTATAATTTTATTATCTTTTGCAATTGAAACCTTTCTTCTCTAATACTTCAGTATTATTAAATGTTGGTATCAGATTTTTGTTTGTTATCTAATTATGACTGATAATTTCTTCCGAATTGAATCCTGGGTAAAGGAATATGATGGCTTTAATGTAGTGGTTAAGAGCCAGACCTCTGAAGTCAAATTTCCTGGTTTGAGTTCTGGCTATTTACTGTATGATCCTGGGAAAGTTATTTAACTCCTGTAAACTTCATTTTTGATGCCCACAAAGGAGATAATAAAAGAAACTCTAATATGATTGTTGTGACGATTCAATGTAGATAGGTAGATGGATAATCCATTAATGATATAGTTAATACACATTCAGAGATACTAAATTCCTTTTTGATTCCAGTAAATGTTCATATCCGTAGTTCACATCAGCCCCAACTTTAGGTTTGGTGACTGGGAAGTGGAGATACAAGGGGAAAAAACCAGCACATGACCTCAGCCTTCCAAGGAGGGCTGAGCAGCAGCTTCATTCAGTCTGACTTGCTCTCTTGGCTGCCACAAAGCAGCTTTCTCTCCTGTCCCAGAGGAAGTCAGACTTTCCAGGAGTAGCTTCCCATAGCCTCTGCACTTCGTTAGAAAGAATTGATTCTTTCGGCTGAGCACCTTTACCTTTTTACTGGGTTGTAAATGCCATGAGGTCAGAAATCATCTTTTCCTTTCTGCTTTTTTCTAGTTCCTAGCATATGTCTTGCCCAAAACTATACGGCAAATATTTGTTGAATGACTAATAGCCCTCGTCTTAGAGATGAACAAACTGAGACAAGTGTCATATATGACTTAGCCCAGGTTACACTTCTGAAGTACTTACAGCTAGAACTTGAGTTTCCAGTTTCCTGCACTCTAGTTCTCTCTGCTTTGTCTACTACACTGTGAAAATTTAAGTTGCAGAGGAGACTTTCACAATATCTACAAGTAACTGCATTACAGAGGGAAAATAGGTATGGAAAGCGGGAGGTGAATAGAAGTCCTTTTGACAGAGTGGGATGCTAAGTGTAGACAGAGTGCTTGCTTCAGCAGCACATATACTAAGTGTAGACAGAAAGGCTTAATGAAGGAAGAGACATTTGACTGGATTTTAAGGACGGACAGATTTGAGGTAGAAAAGTTTAGGAAAGGTCACTCCAGACATGAACTGTATTTTATCTAATTATATGTATCACTTTTGGCTTGATAGTTTTAATCACATTATTTCAAGGAGTCTTTAAAATATCTAATGGTCTTATCTTATTTCAGTGAACAACGTGGGAATGTCCTATGAATATCCCGAATACTTTTTGGAAATTCCTGATTTGGACAATGTGAGTTTTTCTTTGTCTCAGAAATCTTATGGCAACAAAATAAAACTGTGTTCAAGTATTTGTGAGATAATTTGATGTAATGATTCAGACTGAACACCAGAGCCCAGCTACCTGAGGCTCACTCCCTGGTTCTTCTGTTTATCGAGTTAGTCTTTGGGTAAAGCTAACCATGCTTAGTCTCTGTCTCCTCGCCCATAAATTAGGCAACTTCATAGGAATGCTAAAAGCATTGAATGAGAAAATATTTATAACATACACAGTGTCAGGATCCATAATAGCTCTCATTTTATTTTTTATTATATAAAACAGTTCTATTTTATTAGAATTTTAAACCAATTTAAAAATCATAAATATATTAGGATGGTTGATTTAGATGAACCAGTTCTACCAAAATGAAAGCCACATCTTTGATACATCTATAATCCTTTAATGAAAACTAGGAAAGCACATCCTTGAGAGACTATGTAAGTTTTTAAAAACTATTGAAAATTTTAGATCCAATTATTTCTACTTTCCATATTAGCAGAAGGGAAATTGCAAAGTGTTCTATTTATTTTAGATGTGTCTTTTCATTTCCAAATTTTATTTGCACATTTACCTTGGATTTTGCATATTAGCATGAATTGCTGCTTGTGTCAGAAAAATACTATAATAACGAAAGTAAAATAAAATCTGCTTCTTCTCCCCAACCCCATTTGTTTTTCAAGGTCTCTGTAATATCAAGTGAAACTTCCAGTGCATCACCAGATTACCTAAGCATATATCAAATATGATTATTTCTATTGATAAATCTATATCAAATTATCATTTTTTGCAGGTCATCAAGAAACTGATAAATATTAATATTCTTTCTGTTTGTAAGGTAAGCAGCTTCATTATAAAGATGTCATCCTCTTTTTGGTTCTTTCTATTTAAGAATACAGTACTGATTCATTCACTTCAGTCAGCTCTTATTTAGAGTAAGCATATATTCCAGAGGAAAGTGGTCTATTAAGTCTTCAGAAGAAGAAAGAACTCACCACCCAGTAGGTATATTATTTTGCTAACAACCTAACAGTTACTAAGTGTCTTCAACATGTAAACACTGTGGTAGGTACTGGCACTACAAAAAATAACATAGGCCAAAGATTTGTTTTATATACTTGCTATTCACCACTGATAAATTGTTTTTATCTTCTCTCCCTTGTGACCCACTTAAATGATAAATGTTATGGTATAGTTTTGTATGGGGAATATGGGGCTATAAAGGTATGAGAGTGATTTTTATTAGCCACATATAATAACCAGCCTTGTAGCTAAGCATGTGTTATACCCATGTCACAACAAAAAAGCCTGGTTAATAGCTACCAGGAACAGCTAATGCTATTAAAAAATGAGCACCTTAGCACCTTTCCCCCTTATTTTTAATAGTAACTACATAAAAGTATATCAGACCAATGAAAAATACTGCCCAAAGCAAAATTCCCATGACCAGTGTCAGATACATGAGTTCATGAACTGAGGTACCACTGTACTTTAAATTTGAGTGCTCTTATGGAAAACTAAATATAGTTTCAATAACATGTATAGATATAATATTCAATACAACTATTCAAATTTACCAGATAAGTATAAATAAGAATTATTGGGCTGGGGATTTAGCTCAGTGGTTCCGCCACCTGCCTCACAAGCGCAAGGTCCTGAGTTTGATCCCTGGTACCAAAAAAAAGAAAAAGAATTATTAATTTTTACTTTATAGAATAGTTTCAGTGTTTCTCCCTACTGTGAATGTTTAAAGAATAGTTTTCCTTGTGTCTTTGTGTCTTGAGAGAAACTATAATCCTTACATGGTTGAGTCAAAGAACCCAGTGATCTTACACTTTTCCCAGCTTCAATGTATGGTTCTACCTCTCACTGTGTAACACGTGTGTTGTTTGGAAGTGTTAATTCAGTTTTAAAAAGACAAAGCATTTTGTAGCTTGGTGCTTAAAGGTACTTCAAATGAAATATTTAAAATGACAAATGATTAGTTCATCCCACTGTGTCTTTTCATTTCTTGTTATTAACCAAGGTGCTCCTCCTCCTCCTCCTCTTCCTCTTCCTCTTCCTCTTCCTCCTCCTCCTCCTCCTCCTCCTCCTCCTCTTGTCTGTCTTTCTGTCTGTCTCTCTCTCTTTCTCTGTCTCTTTCTCTCTCTCTGTGTCTCTGTCTCATAAGATTCAGTTTAGGTAAGATAAATGAGTAACAGGTGGGGCTATGAGTAGATTTGGAGCAGTGAACCTACGTGCACAGAATTGTGCATTTCAGACATGATTAATATGAACATATCTGTGCAGTTTTAAAAGCATTTTCCGTAGCTGATTTAGATTATGTAACCATTCTTTAATCATCCGTGTGAGGTTTCAAGATAATTAAATAACTGCCATTTGGTTGTTATATTGTACCTTGGGCAAATTACTTAACCTCTGTGCTTCAATTTTTCGGCTGTAAATTGAGAATGATAATTCTCTTCACCTCACAGAATTATTGTGAAAATTAAACAAGGAAATATGTATAAACCTCTTAGAACGAAGACCAGATCATAGTAAGAACTCTGAAAGTATTACTGTTTATGTTAAACTCTGAACTGGTAATGACTTTTGTAAATATTGGTGTTTTTTTTGAAAGCAAAGTTTTTTGATCAAAATTAATCACACCTAGTCTATAATTTCTACATTTTGTGGGTTTTCTTTTTGAAATGACTGATGTGTACTGTTTTTTTTTATCTATCTTTTCTGTACATTTGGCCAAGTGTTTGAAAGTAATGAGTGTTAAAACAGTATACATGTGTTTCATGATATATTGTGCTGAGTTAATGAGAAAATATGTTCAGGTATTTAAATTTTATTTCATAGACTTGTTAAGAGCTGCAGATTTGTCTTCTGGTAGTTTTAACTAGATCCACTAACATTCTAACCTGCTTGTCTGTCCTTAGCTGTTTGCATGGTCTTATAGCATAAAACTCCGCTTCTTCTGTCTCCCAGATTAGACATTTTTGCCTGGTACTCTTCAGAATACTGATGAGGAAAGGAGGGTCCTTCCTGCCCAGAGTCTGGGAGAACTAGGCAGCTAGGTTCTGCAGTCACAGCCTGTGTCCTTCACAGGGCTTCTCAGCAGAGATCAGCATGTGGGGCAGTGAGGCCCTCCCATCCTTGGGTAAAGACCAAACAGTGCAGTGGGACATTGTGACTAAAGCAGCACCATAAAAATGATGATGAGATAAGAAAGAGCCCATTCCTGATACCTTGTTACACTGCTAAATGTGTCTCCCCACTGCATCCTTCCTCTTCCCTCTTCCCTTTTCACATTGTCACAGTCACTTGTTCACACTTGAAATGAGTTAGCAGAGACAAATGGTAATTTCTTAAACACTCGGGAGCTAAGTTGATGGGAAGCAACACCAGTAGATGGAGTGGATATCTGCTTAAGATTTTTGTATGTAAGTTTTTATTTCCAAACCAACTCCTATTTAAAAAGCACCAGGGGTACCGGGGATTTAGCTCAGTGGTTCTGCTGCCTGCCTCAAAAGCGCAAGCTCCCAAGTTCAATCCCTGGTACCAAAAAAGAAAAAAAAAAAGAAAAAGCACCAGGAGAGTTTACTATTTAAAATCAAATGATCATTCTTATTAAATGATCAATCTTATTAAATTAAATGATCCTTCTTACCTTTAGTATGAATCTGAGTTTTCCTATACCTTTGTGATACGTACTTTTAAAGGAAAAACAATTCAAGACTGTTGGTTCATGGAATTAATACCATCTGGAGGACAGCCAGTGTGGACTGTGGGTAAGATCAGTGTAGGATCACTTCTGTGGACGAGGCACAGTTGATTACAATAACTGTTCACATCTGGAACGGTGACTGGGAACAGTGAGGGTGAGTGATGAACGGTGGCGAGCCAGAAGCCAGGAAAACAGAGTTAGGCCAGGATATGCAGGAACTGGAGTGTTGTGCTCAATAGCACAAGGAGCCACAGGGAGCCGTAAAGCAGAGGGAAGTTGCCCTCTGATGTAGAGTGAGCTCTTGTGGCAGAGTGAATGGCAACACACATCTATTCTGAGAACAAAGACATTCACCTTGTTGAAGTTTTCTGTGTGATAGTCTAGGTTAATGCTCTCTCAGAATACCATGGTTTGCCCTGTAGCATATCATGATGAATTGCGCTTGTTTAGGTGACTGTGTTGTGTCCCTACAGTAAGAGCCACACTTTCAGTAGCAATGGGTGTTCAGGGTAATTTAAAAGAAGTAAAAATGGGCCCGGCTATAGAATCTTAGCAGTATCATGGTGGCTGAACATCAGGGGAACTAGGGCCTAGGTGTCATAGCCCAAAACCACACTGAATTTACCCCAGAAGCTCATAAGCCTCTTCTCACCATTAAGGTTGGCCCAAGTTTTGTCTGCTCAGCAGACCACAGGGGGCAGGTGACTGGCTGATGAGTGTACCAAGAGAACCCAGCAAATCATCTTGCCCTGTGACTTGGGGCTCGTGCCTCTCATTGGAGGTGTTTTCAGGCTAGGGCCCTAGCATCTTGTTGCACAGCCTGTGCTACCCTGTGAGCACCGAATGAACAGGCTCTACATTCCTGCACCTCTGCCTGCCCCTGTCCTATGTTGAATAGGTCAGATGATTATAAAAACCATGCAAGTTCCACATTCCAATAGAAGAGTGATAAAAGTAGATTATCCTCAGATCAGAGGAATTGCAGGTTATCACTAAAGTGATGGTGATGTGGTCCAGGAAAGTATTGGGGAAGAGATATTAACCAGAATAATTTTGCCTCTAGAGCCCCAATGTCCAATTGTAAACAGCTCTCCCCGGCCACTTAGCTCTGATTGTTTCACTTTTTAATATTCCCCAATAATTTGTGTTTATTCCTTCCTCCCCTCTCAGTGGCTTACCTAACTGGCCTTTCCCTTCACCAGAGATGCTTAGAAGCCTCATTGCCTGCTTTTCCACTTCTGCTTTTAGATCCTTTAGGGATAAATTTAGTCTTGTTCTTGTTCCCTGCAAGCAATTATGTAGTGTAGAAATTCTGTATAGGTAACCAATATGGCAGGTAGACCGGTCTCAAACTGGAAGAGAAGTCCTACCACGTACATCTTTCCTCTTACAATTTCAGGTGCTCTGTGACTGAAATCTAAGGTAAATCTTATTTCTCATCAAGAACAATGACCTTCACTCTAGAGGGGTTTAGAGACAATTAAACCTCATGATATGGAACAACACTCTTCTAAAATAGTTCCAGTTTTTTGCCTAGAGGGATTTCCATCCCAGAAGATTGAGAGTTTGCTAATGAAGTTGTTGAACTGCTGTTGATTAGTTAGGAAAATCATGAAAAATGGGTGACGTACCACAGCTCTCAAGCAGGCAAATATAGATCTAATTTCAAACATTGTACAATGAGTCCCATATCAATTCAACATCAAAACACATCTTGTTTGTACTATTTCTGATTTGTGGTCATTTGTTTTATTTGGGGTTGCCTTTCTTCCTTCTCTAGGCTATACTGTTCTTTGATTCCTTTAACCCACCAGTGGTGAGAAGACCATTTCTTCTCATGATCCTTAACCCTGAAGTGGACACTGGGCTTGGTCAATAATGTGGAGTCTAGGGAGTGACCCTTCCTGCAGCTGAACCCCGTAGGGAATTCCAGGCTACCATTCTGATATGCAGAAGAGCGTTCCAACCTTCTTTATTACCTTTCTTAGCGCAGAGAAAGAAATGGTAGGACTGTGACCTAACAAAATTTATGAACAACCTCTACTTACAGTGAAATACCATTGAATTTTGTTATTTGCTTTATTGAGGAATAGAGAAGAGGAATCTCAAGCAAAAGATAATTC